CATAAAAGCGTAATAATTGACAGGAATATTGCAATTTTAATAAGTTTTGAACGAGGCAATGATTCAAATTTTGATAGCAACTTCATTTTTGAATGAATAAGTTGTAACTTAACAAATTGCAAAAACCCCCCGATATTTATAAGTTTCTATTCCCGAAATTTAAGTTTTAATTTTACCACTGGTCACATCTTGTACAGTCGATACTGCCTAAATGCATACTGCATACTGTATCAATGATCAATGAACAATTGTTAAAATTATATTTTTTTTTTTGTCTTTTCCGACAACATTCTTTTAGACAGTACCGACTGTACTATGTATGTTATGAAGCTTTTGAAACAATTTACCCCAAATTAAAGAAGCCGTTCTTTGATTATCTTTTCCTTAAGAGAAAGTCACCGACAATACTATATACTGTATGTATACGCATAATTACGAACTAAATTAGGTGATAATCAAGGGTTGTAAATTATTAGTACAAAAGTGTGTTTTTACACAAGACTATCTCATTAAAAGTACGGACAACTGAGGTCGACCAAAGTATCCGTGTGACAAATCATGCAGATCAATTTTTACAATATTATTTATATGTGACATGCGATGTAAACAATTGTGTAATGCACGTGATTTATAATATTTCACTGTGCAAAAAAAATTGTATCACACCGTGTACTTTGGTCATCGCTACGGTACTTAAATTTCTTACGCACGTACGTACGTACGTACGTCCTGTGATGATCTGGGCATTATACTAATTAACCAATAATGTATTCAAGAGGATTTAATGCAATTACGAAAGTGGCAAATGGCTAAATTTATATGAAGCTATAAATAGACGTATAACGAGTTAATTTATTAGAGTTATTCGAGCAATTCTGAATGAAGATATATTAAATAATAAGCTGTTTGGATCCATGTAAAAAAGTCTTAATCCAAGTCACCCGTAGGTAATCACCGGATTACTGGAGATTGGATACGATCACCTGCAGGTGGGTTATCCAGATTATCCGGATTAGCTGGTTATGGATTACAACTAGTTGTTATACGAAAAAGCATCTTTCTATCACATTATTTAGAGTACCCTAATGGCCTGTAAATCCGGAATTCCGATCTAATTCGATATGGTTACAACTAGTTGTTAAAAAAAGCATCGTTATAACATTCGCTATCACGTTATTTTGAGTACCCTCTTGGTTATTATTTACAACTAGTTGTCATACAAAGAAGCATCTTGCTATCACATTATTTGAGTACCCTAATGGCCTGTAAATCCGGACTTCCGATCTAATTCGATATGGATTACAACTAGTTGTTATACGAAAAAGCATCGTTATTATCACGTTATTTTGAGTGCCCTCCTGGTTATGGATTACAACTAGATGTTTTGAAAAAGCATCGTTATAACATTCGCTATCACATTATTGAGTACCTTCCTGGTTATGGATTACTAAAGTTGTTATACGAAAAAGCATCGTTATAACATTTGCTATCGCATTTTTTGAGTACCCCCTTATGGCCTGCATATCTGGACCACCGATCAAAATTTAGATAATACGATATTACAGACACTTTTGTAAAATTTTATTCTGAAAATTTTTTTAGAGCCCGAAAACAGGTTATCATAGTAGAACTTCGTGTCTGTTAGTTTTTTTTTTCTTTGTTTTTGTTACACGAAAAGATTCATTTTTTATTGGTTCTGACCAATATGGAGGGTCCAGATTTGTAGGACATAATTTTCAAAGTTGTTGGGAAAAATCTAGACCACGAAGTTTGCCGATTTTTACTGTTTGTTTATAAGTTATGTAAATCACTTAACAAAATAGGGATTGTTTAAAGCACGTGCGTTTAATATATTAATCTACACACTGCATAAAATATACGTATTCTTGATGCTTATATAAATAATGGTAACTGCGCAGCGTGGTGCGCAGCATAGAACCAGTACGATCACTTGTAGATTTAATTTGTTAATTTTTAACATGTTCGTTCTTGTTGATTTGTGCTATATATATGTTCTGGCTCATTTCACGATTTCGATCAATTCCGGATTGAACTAGATCATTCATGAATCCTAAAATGAACTAGATCATTTCTCAATCGGTGAAAACTTAAAAACTCAAAAAAATATACACCCAAGCGGTAAAATTATACGACAAAGCAATAATATTAATTATGTTATTAAAGATCTTTCGCATGAAAAAAAAATCTTAAAAGTATTACATTAAGATATTAGAAAAATATAAATTTTTTTTATAATGAAATTTAATATTAGAAAACAAAGATCAAATAAAAAAATTCGCATAATCAATAAAAATTTTTTTAATTAATAAAAAACATGTAATTACACTATCAGGATCATCGTAACATCTTTTTTTAAAAAATGTGCTTATATAGAGGTTTTTCCTATAAGTTTATAATAGTTGGTTTCATAATAGATGTGCGTATAAAGAGAATTTTTACAGGGTGTGTTTATATGGGAGGTGATCATAAAGACGACTGAACATACAAATAAATAAAAGAAAAACCAAGTAATTAATAAAAAATGTACAATAGCACATATAGTAAAATTTGTATAATTAATAAAAAATGTATATACTAAAATTGTTTTTTACATTCATTGCATAGAACGCATCCACATCGCCATGCACATTGTAAGTTATTTCTTTAGCAAAAACCAGTATTAGAAGAGCAGTTGGTTTTTTGGCAGAACAATTTGAATGATAGTTTTAAGGTGCTTTATTTAGTTGACTATTGCTAGATTATTATTATTTATTAGCTCATCATTATATAGTTATTATGTAATAATTTATTATGTTTACTTCATCATTATTTTGACTTGAAAATTGATTTAATCATTCATTATTTTCTTTAAAACTTGCTTGTCTTAATAAAATAGTTTTGTTTAAAATAACTACATTAAGAGAAGAATAATCAGAGGTTCTAAGTGGCTCAATTTTGTTTGCTGGATGCAATATTTTTTTACCTACATGCAATGCAACAATTCTTCAGAGTTTATTAGATAAATAGGTGAAATCTTTTAAAGAATTATCTGGTAATGCAAACTTTATATACACTAATGGCATCATCAACTATGTTTTGCAGAATAAAACAATACCACATATAAATTTTTTTAATTGTATATAAAATAATAAGTAATAAATAAAATCATAAGTAGTATAATAAAATAATAATAAATAAATAATAGAATAGTAAATAGTATAATAAAATAAGAATAAATAAGTAATAAATAAAAAAACTTTTCATCACATTTTGTCTTGACCAGTGTGTTCCAGTACAGATTATCTTATAAAAGTTTTCATCAGAACTAACCTGTATTCTTAAATCATTTTTAATTAGTTTAATTATATAAAGTTCTTCAGTCACATCAATATAAAAAATTTTAAAATTATTAGTTATCTAGCATTTAAATTTTGTGATTTGTAAATTGCTGTGATTTTTAAGTACAGTTAAATATTGATTATATTTATTCTTATTTTTTTTTTTTTTATTTTTTTTTTTTTTTTTATTTTAAGAGTGAGGCCTGGCCTCAGTTTTTATTGAATAATTATGCGTTACATTATTTGAATGGATTACATGAATTATTACAGGGACCTACAGCTAGGACTAATTTATCCTCAGCCCAAAGCTCTACTAGAGTGGGCTAC